ACAAAGTATAACGAATTAAAAAAAAGAGACATTTTAAACCAGCTAAAGTTAAGCAAATAATAGCCCACTAAAATAAAATGAAAACAAAAACATCTAATAACAATTTATTGTTAAAAGTGATTAAATGGAAATCATCAAACCCAAATAATAGGAACAACATTGATGATATCAAGCTTAGTTATTATCACTATAAAATTGAAGAAGTAATATAGTGCTAGAGTAGTTTAGTATTTGGAATTCTAAGTAAAATGGCAAATAATTGATAATCTATGATAAAGTATCAAAAGATCTAAATCAGAAAGAACGTCCAAAATAATGAAAGAGATCACAAAGTTATTTTGAATTTAATACTACTTTAGCCACATATATATTGCTAGAATTGTTGAAATTGTATATTATATTAGGTTACATCCAAATTAATGAATGAATAATAGATATTCATCGCTCTCAAATAACTCAATGAATGTTTGATATTCATTGCTCTCTCTCCATATACTACCGAATTTGAACATCTTTTGATTCTGAGTCCCAAGTAATTAAAAACTCTCCATCTTCACTTATTGTTCCAAATATCTCTCCATCGCATTCGAATCCAAAGTGAATTGATTATTCTAATTAAGTTTCTTAGATTTCATCATACGAAGAAAACTAAAATCTAATCAAATTCACATAGCATCCATTTTTTGAAATTAAGAGTTATTTAGATGGAATGTATTACTAAGGAAAATAGAAAACACATGGTTGTCCTCCTCCTTAAACAGGGATATCTTTACTTTTGGAAAACAATCCTGAGGATGGATTGAGTGTATAAATGTACAAATTTGGTAATGCTTTGCCAGAACAGGCTTGAAAAGAAAATTAATTGTTATTTATAAAACATATTCGAGTCCCTTAGATTTCAACTTAAATTTTTTATTTTACCTCCCACTATTACCTATTAGACAATTCCATCACTAATATTAATTTATCCTCTCCACAAGATATCAATTTATTCCCATCCATATTCAATGACAATGCCCAAACACAATCTAAATGCTCACTAATTGTCTATTAGCATGTCCATTAACATTTTTATTAGAAAAATGCAGCACATGACCAAAATTTTATGGACCTATCATCACTGCCTGAAATTACTAGGTCTTCAGAAAGAGGATGAATTATCAAACATCTAATACTATTTGAATGTCCATTTAGTTTAAACAATGGAGCCCATGAAGTAGGTTACTGTTAAGAAGAGTAGGTTGTTGGAGACCATATAATTATAGTTGAATCCTTAGAACCCGAAAGGAAAGAATTAAGCATAGTAGGAGTATTTCTGAAAAAATTAAGAGTATTCACAAAATCCGAATGTTCACCTTGTAGCAATTATAATAATCTTGGAGTTCTCTTAGTTTCATTTTCATTTGTTGAGTTTATTGTTGATGATGAAGATTGCTATTATTAATCAAGCAGAATTTCCATAATTTTGATATTGGAATTACAGGCCACTATAATGATGCTATTATCATGATTGATTGATATTGCTCTGCAAAAATAAGTTTATTTATGGCTCATTTGTGATAGCAATTAATATGTAAAAGGACCTTTGGCAATCTAAGAATTTCCAAGTAGGTTGGATAGTTAATTGGATGATCTAGATTGGGAGGGGATTTTAATAGAGAATCTTTCTGGAAGTAATTTAATTGGAGAGAGAGGTGGAGAAAGTTAGAGTGTATCATCCACTTAAGTTATTTTCTTAAGAATCTCTTGGCAATCACTATATTCTTAAAATTCTTTGAATAACTCAAATTTATCATTTATTTGATTACTCCATTCAGTATGGATTAGATAAATTTCTGTTTTGAGTTTATTTTCATCAAAATGATTTTATTCATTTTTAATTAATTTATCCAATTCCTGAAAAAATGAGTATTTTGATAATTCTTGTTTGGTTGATTCTAGATTCTTAATCCAATCCTCAGAAATCCTTTACAGTTATTCTAATTATTTTGTTATGTTCTATTTGAGAGCATTTATGGCAGTTTGAATTTATAATACAGAATTTATGTGAGGCATAAGTAAGTTTTCATATTCCTGAAGTTTAGTTCTTTACTTTTCTTCTATCAATTGGAATACTTTTTTGTATCCCATGGTTCTCGTTTCACTGTCATAATCTTCAACACACTGAGTACACAATAATCTTTGATCGAAACTTAGCTTTGGGTCCCAAATCACCTGACTGATTGGTAGGTCATGTTTATTCATGCAGACTAAATTCTGTTGACTTTCGATTACCTAAGGCTTATACATTTAGTAAATTAAATTAATATTGAATGTAATTTTCTTGATGATTTACTCTAAAACATGAACATTTCATTGATTTATCAAAGATATGGATTATTTTATATTCTATATAATTTTAAATTATTATAAATACATAAATTATTTTTAAAATTTAAATTATAATGATAAATTTATTTAGTTATAATTGTTAAAATTGACTTGCTATTTATGTATACCTGTGTTATATCAATAAAAATTAAATACGAAACAATAATTTACACTTATAATTCGTGAACAATTCTTTTGAAGCTCTTATGATTCATAAAATATAAATTTTATTTTATTATTTTATAAAATTACATTCAATTTCATAAATTTATACCAAACAACCTCTTCCCTATTTGTTATTTACATCAATATAGTTAAACTTTGATATTATTGGAGTTCTCAATTTTAATTCTGCTTAAGTTTGGACAAATAGGATCGGATTAGATTTATATTAATGAGGCTTATCTTTAAAACTAATTAAAAAGATTTTAAATAACCAATTTGTTAATGTTCGATAGATGGATTTATTGCTATGAATAATACAAACTATATTAAAGATGCTTACAAAACAACCAATACTGCTTACTCTTTGATTACTGAATTAGGAAATTCAAATATTTTAAGATGTTAATAATAATATTTCTACTCTTTTTCAAATGGTTTATAAATACTCAAAATATAATAAACTAAGGAACAATTTATTGAAATTCTAAATATAATTACAACAATTTATCCACAGATTAAGAGGAAATAATTATAATTAAAAAAATAAATAAAGAATAATAATTATTTAGTATTTAGCTTAATTATCATTTGTGGACACTATTTACTCTCCAAAATACAAATGGTAACTTATACTAAATTGATTATTAAAATATAATTTGGCTGTTATTATTTTTTTATATAATTTAAGGGA